TTTATTATGAAATTATTATAATTGTTTATAAAAATAATTATTTTTTTCCTTTAATATAATGCAAGTATAGAGTGTTTTTTTTTTCCTGCTAGTATATTATAAGAAGGATTTTCTTGTGCATCTTCTAAATGCAAATTTTAAATTCACATGAAATATTTCCTGCAAATTTGAATTCCCCGGAAAATCAACAGAAAATTATAAAAGAAAATATTTGCAACATTTCTTGCAATTTTATTAAAATAACATTAATTATTTTCCGCCAAAATGAATCAGCAAAAAAAATAAAATTGCAGAAACAAATAAAGAAAACCTTACCTAATTACATGCCAATTAATTTTCATTCGCAAATATTAATCCTATAATTAATATAATTATAGAAAAATTTTCAGACTTTTTCTGTGGATATTAAAAACATATCCGCAAGGTGATCTAGTTTAAATAAAAGTTGTATAAATACTACTTATTTGCTGAAATTTAATTTTGCATACTGTCATAAAATATTATGCTAATTAACTTGGTTAAATAAATCTGAATTATGTTCTTTCTCAAGAGAATAAATTTGAATGTTAATATTTACACAAGATATTAAACTCGATAAATTTAAATTTGAAATAACATTTCTTTGCCATAGTAAATACACAAGTTGTTTTCTTACCTAACAACAGCTGAGAGTCATAAATTAGTGTCTGGAATCAACTGAAAATAAATATCTAAGAGCCTAATAATGCTTTTCGTCTTAAATATGATTGAACCATCCTTACCTGTTATGACAATCTTTTTCTCTCGTCTAACATTTCCCCCTTAAAACAGAAAGCTAGCTGAATCATTTCAGAGTTGGCATCAAAATTTTGCACTTAAAATATGAATCATCCATGTTCAAACTCTAGGAGCCTAGTGTTACATATCTTTGATGGATGTCTTCTACTATGCATGATCTTTATCAAGGACTCAGCAGTAGGAGCAACCCCTGCAGGAAATGAAACTGATTTACAAGCTTTACTTGACTTTAAAATTAAGATAGTTGAAGATCCATTCAACACTATGAGTTCTTGGAATGACTCCATCCATCACTGTAATTGGATAGGAATATCTACAGGTGATCAATGCTCCCTATAATCATAGGTATCACAGTCATTAAGGACAAAATGTCTTTAATCATTGCAAAGCATAGATCAAGTAGGGATTCTTGAACTAACAATAAATTATCAGAAGTTGGGTGAAGCTTTACTATGACATTTTGTTTTCCCAATTCCCAGCCCAATAGAATACTCATTGTGAAGTTGAAATTTGGGGCTTCTCATGCATCACATAACCTCTTTTAAAATGTGATTTAATGCATCTACAGGTGATCAATGCTCCCTATAATCATAGGTATCACAGTCATTAAGGACAAAATGTCTTTAATCATTGCAAAGCATAGATCAAGTAGGGATTCTTGAACTAACAATAAATTATCAGAAGTTGGGTGAAGCTTTACTATGACATTTTGTTTTCCCAATTCCCAGCCCAATAGAATACTCATTGTGAAGTTGAAATTTGGGGCTTCTCATGCATCACATATTTAATTTGTTGTATTTTTTTTATGAAAAAAGGGAAGTAGATTGAGTTTATAATTGTCGAATACATTGTAATATATATGTAAAATTTTATATAATAATTAATTTAATATGATAAGATAACAAAGATTTAAATATGTATTGAATTGGCAGTTATATTATGTTACTTTTAAAATATAATGACAACTTTAATTAACGTTTAAAATTTAAAAGAAAAAATTAAATGACACTAAATTTGCAAAATACTTATTTTGTATTATAAAATTATTTGACATATCAATAGGATAAACATATATAAGATGAATTTTACATTTATTGAAAATGATATTACAATGCATGATAAAAAAATCTAGTAATAATGTACTATAAAAATAAATATATTTCTAATGTTTCAAATGATAAAATTTCATAGTATTAAATTACATGATTTTGAAGAATTATTTAAATTGAAGTTTATTTATAGATTGTGTATTTCTTTTTATTAGATATAGATTATATATTAATATTTAGGTTAAATATGTTTTTAGTCCTTCAAAAATTGATTCTATTTGATTTTAGTCCTTCAAAAACAATTTCTTGACTTTAGTACTATTATGGAATTTTCTCAATTAAAAATATTAATTATTTTATGATTAAATTAAGATTTAGGACAAAAATTAATTTTATACTTAAAACTTTTTACTATTTATTCTCATACCAGATATAGAGGTTTCAGTAATTTTTTTTTTCTTTTACTTGAACAAAGAGGTGTTTCACCAAATTGTAATAAAATCTTCTCTCAATTCAAAGTAAAGTTTTTTTTTCTCTCCACCGCCATCACCATGTCCATAAATGTTCTGTTCATACCTTTATTGACAACCCTCAAAACTCCAAATTTTCAATTTTTGGAGACATCATTTCTCCATAGACCTCAATACACTAAATAATGCTCATTCTTCAACCTCAATTTTTTGAGTTTAGAGGGTTGTCAATGAAGGTGTCAAATAGAACATTTATGGACATGGTGATAAAAGGGAAAAAAAAACTTTGCTTTGAATTGAGAGAAGATTTTATTGCAGTTTGGTGGGAGACCTCTTAACTCAAGTAAAAAAAGAAAGAATTATTGAAATCTTCATATCTATATTTGAGAGTGAATAGTAAAAAGTTTTAAATGTAAAATTAATTTTTATCCTAAAACTTAACTTAATCCTAAAATAATTAATATTTTAAACTAAAAAATTTCATGTCAATAAAACTTATGATGATTTGAACGTTGAAGTAACCTATTTTAACAACAAAAGTTAACCGTGTTTAAAAAAGATTAAAAATAGATATTATATGAATTTGGAGGACCAAAATGAAAATATTTCTTTTGAGAGACTAAAACCAAATAGAGTTAATTTTTTAACAACCAAAAACATATTTAACCCTTAATCCTTTAACTTTATGTATATTGTAAAATTCTAAATTTAAAATATAAACGTATCTCATTTTAAATTACATGTTTTCATTTCTCAACGCATCTCATTTCAAGTACAAACAATTTGCTTTATTTTTTATCCAAACACATGAATTGTATTAAATCAATAAAACATATACTAAATATTTATTTCTTTAGACAATTGCCATAATAAAATTTTAAAATCTATAGATAATTAGTAACTGATAGTTATAAAATACATTTAATTGTTATACTTGATATGGTTATAAATTATATTTAATTTATAATTAAATATTAATCATTGATTTTGTAATTAAAATTTTATTTTAATTGGTATTAAAAAATACGATAATATTCTTTCAACAATGATTTTTATTTATATGTTTTGACTATTCATCCCCGCTCCATTACTTCATTGTTGTATATCCATTAGTGATAAAATTCTTTTTATATAATAATTCCTGGAACACGAACAATCCTAAATAAAACAGAATTGATAGTTTAAAGTAGGACAAAAAATTCTCAATACAAATAAGAAAGAAATCTCGTAATGAATATAGTTAAAGAATTTATCTAATTTAAAAATCTTAAGCAACATATAACGTCAATGCTAGATAATGATATCAAAAGAATTGATTAAACAATCTATATAAAAATATCATTATCGTATTAAGAATTAAGAATTAATACACATAACTTAATTTGGAAAAAATATCTATTTTATTCATTCTAGTTAGGTAAGTATCTTATTTTACATTTAAGTATACTTGATTTTGGAAAGAAATGGAGATTACCAATCTAACTTATTTGATGCTTGTTGCATGAAAACTAAATAAAATTTTCTTGTCCTTTTAACATATGCTTCTTCATGTGTCTCAAAATTGGATGGCCTCAATAGTTTTCATTTGATTCTCATTCTTTTACAAAATGACTTATCAAATCTCAAATCATGTATAAAGAAAAAAATTAAGAGCAAGAAAAAAAGATAAGAATACCACTTTAGATTCCCTATATGTCCCAAAATTTGATGGCTTCAATAGTTTTCATACGATTATTCTTCTTTTACAAAATGAATTATCATATATATGAGGAAAAAATTAAGAGTAAAAAAAAAAGAAGATAAGAATGAGTAACGCTTAAAATTTTTTATATGTCCCAAAATTTGGCCTAAGACAACTCTCATGATTCCCCTTCTCTTGCAAAGTGAAATATAAAATCTCAAATCATGTTTGAGAAATAAATTAAGAGTGAAAAAAGACATGATTATCCTTCTCTTGCAAAATGGATTATCAAATTTCAAATCATGTATGAGAAAAAAAATTAAGAGTGAAAAAAAAAGAAGATAAGAAAGAATATCACTTTAGATTTTCAACATGATCCAAAATTTGATGGTACCTCATGATTCTTCTTTTCTTGCAAAATGAAATATCAAATCTCAAATCATGCTTAAGAAATAAATTAAGAGTGAAAAAATAGAAAGAAAAAATATCATTTTAGATTTTTTACAAGGATTGAAGGATTGAATAGGTTAGTTTAGATTAAAATTGATAATAAAAGGTGGATTGAATAAAACAATTTATGAAGGAGAGATACAATAGAAAATTGCTTAAAAATTGACACATAAACAAATTTACTAAAGTGGGATAAGATAATACAACGATGTGACAGCATAACATTAAGTAACTCAACTTTTATATTATAAATAGATAGATTTACATATTCAAACATCACATTTATTTATATTCATAATGTATTTTAAATTTTAATTATATATAATAAACATTTAATCGTTCATTATAAAAAAAATACTAATATATTGTGTAAAGTAGAACATGTGATTTACGATCACCTCTTAATTCATCTTCAAACATTTTCCCCCGAATATTTTAATGTTAAACTCCGTGGTGTCTATTGATCATTATATGGTGTCTATTCAATCAAATGACTTGATATTGTTAGACATTATCAAAGTCCAACAGGATCGAGCAAATGCCATAGGAGTAATGTGGAAAGTAGAACAGAGGAGCACAAAACACAAGAGGAACCAATAAACAATGCGAGAATAAAAATTGAACATCGTATCCAAAAATATAAAAGATCATCATCATTCCTTTAACAGCAGAAAGAAATAATTAACAAAGTGAAAATATGTATATGCTCACACACATAGATGCTGATGAAGCATGGTCTTTCTTCCCATGATCTTATATTTCCCTTTGGAAACACATGGATCTTATTCCTAACAACTATAATGATAAATATGATCACATCCCACAAATATGTACCCAATGGCACGTGCACGAGTAGCCATCACCTTGGAAGCATCTCTGTCACAATATCTGTGCCACTAAAGAGAGTTGAAGTTGCTGCTTCATGTGGATTTTCAGTTTTTTTGTGCTTGACTGCTTGAGAAGATGATGTCTCATTCAAAGAACCACCTTTCTTTCCTGTGCTGTGCCATCTATATATTCCGGGCTCAGTCAATGCCTTCTCATTAAGATGAACTTCCTTGGAAAGCATTTCCAGTACTTGCTTCATGCTTGGTCTGTGCTGAGCAGCTGATTGGGTGCAAAATAGAGCCACTATAAGGAACCGATACACCTCGCTCTCATCATATTCACTTAGTTCTGAATCAACAAGGTCTAGAAGCCTGTTTTCTTCTTTCAGCTTCCAAGCCTGCATGCATGAATGATGAGTCAGGAGAAACAAACATATTGCTGTTATTTTTACTGTCAACAACAACAACAAAGAAAAGGATGCATCAAGTTTGGTTGTTTTTTTGGCTACACCGTGTTAGAAATCTTACATCAATTAGTAATAAACCAAAATACAATATATAAGTAAGAAACAATGATCGTTTTACAAGTTGATTTTGTAGAGTAAAGTTAGGTTTAAATTCACTTTCTTAAAATAATATTAAAGTCTATCCTAACAATTATTGTTGGACCTATTATGTCATCCGCTATTGGATTGCACAAACTTCATACTCAAGATATCCAATCCTTAGCATAGAGGGAAAGTGTTAAAAATCCCACATTGACTAGTGATATAGCCAAAATAGTGTAGATCAATCTTCAACTTACAAACCAGTTTTATAAGATTGAGTTAAATTGAAATCTAGTTTCTTTGTACACACAACAATGTTTAATAACACTATGTAGTATTTTCTTATCTTTTATTAATTTGACTGTCACCTACCTGCAAAACCATTTAATGAACTCCGTGCGATTTCAATTAATTATAGGGAGCATTGATCACCTGTAGATGCATTAAATCACATTTTAAAAGAGGTTATGTGATGCATGAGAAGCCCCAAATTTCAACTTCACAATGAGTATTCTATTGGGCTGGGAATTGGGAAAACAAAATGTCATAGTAAAGCTTCACCCAACTTCTGATAATTTATTGTTAGTTCAAGAATCCCTACTTGATCTATGCTTTGCAATGATTAAAGACATTTTGTCCTTAATGACTGTGATACCTATGATTATAGGGAGCATTGATCACCTGTAGATGCATTAAATCACATTTTAAAAGAGGTTATGTGATGCATGAGAAGCCTCAAATTTCAACTTCACAATGAGTATTCTATTGGGCTGGGAATTGGGAAAACAAAATGTCATAGTAAAGCTTCTTCAACTGTGATACCTATGCTTGATCTGTGAAAAAATTTCTTTATGAAGGATTATTGATACAAGAATACTGTTGGAAGAATTAATATGAAATTTAACAAGATGATCTACAATGCATTAATATCAACTTATGAAAGTGATTCGAAGGTTCCTAAAAAGGTTCGATTTATAAGTATTGGAAGGCGACATGTATAAATAAATTAGAGTTAATCACCTATACACTGTCAGTGTAAAGTTTTTTTATATTAGTAATCAATTATATCTTTTAATTGTGCCATGTTACTATTAAAAGTAAATGTGTTTATATTTTCTGTTTCAACTTCTCTGTTCTGGTTTTTCTTAACAGAATCACATGCAACATTTCCAATGGAAGGGTCATGCACCTTAGCCTTGAGCAACTAAGACTAGGAGGCACTCTTACACCATTCATAGGAAATCTCACATTCCTTACCGCTCTCAATTTGTTAAACAACAGCTTCCATGGTGAATTTCCTCAAGAGGTTGGTCGTTTACTATACTTGCAGCACCTAAACTTCAGCTTAAATAACTTTGGTGGGAGTATTCCAAGTAATCTCAGTCACTGCACAAGACTAATAGTACTAGCTGCAGGTGCTAACAATCTTAGAGGAACAATCCCAACTTGGATAGGAAACCTTTCTTCTTTGTCTCGCGTTAGCTTTGGCTTGAACAACTTCATTGGAAGCATACCACATGAGGTAGGCCTGTTATCAAGCTTGAAATCACTTGTTCTATATGGGAATTACTTGTCTGGCATAGTTCCTTCTTCAATCTATAATATCTCTTCATTGTACTATTTCACTTTTACTCAAAACCATCTTCGTGGAAACTTACCAGCTGATGTTGGACTTACTCTTCCTAACATTCAAGTATTTGCTGGTGGGGTGAACAATCTCACAGGGTCTGTTCCTGCATCATTGATGAATGCATCAAAACTAGAAATTCTTGACTTCTCTTTGAATAGTCTTACCGGGACACTGCCTAAGGAGATAGGGGTCTTGCACAGGTTAACTAGACTTAGCTTTGAGCACAACAGACTTGGAACTGGGAAAACTGATGACCTTAGGTTTCTTGATTCTTTGGTCAACTGCACGGCTTTACAAGTTTTACGTCTAGGTGTAAATAATTTTGGTGGAGTGTTGCCTAAATCAATTGCTAATTTCTCAAGCCAATTGCACACATTTGCCCTTAGTTCTAATAGAATACATGGAAATATACCTATTGGAATTGGCAATCTTGCTAACCTGGCCCTTATAGCATTGGAAGGAAACTGGCTAACCGGTACTGTTCCTAATTCATTAGGTAAGCTGCAAAATCTGAGAGAATTGTATCTGAATGTCAACAAGTTTTCAGGTAGAATCCCATCCTCCTTGGGAAATTTAACTTTATTAATTAAACTCTTTCTAGAGGAGAACAACTTTGAGGGAAGCATACCTTCTAGCCTTGGAAACTGCCACAATTTATTGGTACTCAGCCTTTATAGCAACAAGCTCAGTGGCACCATACCAACAGAAGTTTTTGGCCTTTCTTCACTATCAATGTACTTTGATGTCTCTCATAATGCTTTGTCAGGAACTCTTCCAGCTGAAGTGAGTAAACTACATAACGTTGGATTGTTGGTGCTGTCTGAGAACAACTTTTCTGGAGTCATTCCATCTTCTCTAGGAAGCTGTATTAGCTTGGAAAAGCTGCATTTGCAGGGTAATTCTTTTGAGGGAAACATTCCTCAGACTTTAAAGGATTTGAGAGGTTTACTAGACATAGATCTTTCGCGAAATAACTTGTCTGGTAAGATTCCTGAGTTTCTTGGTGAGTTCACTGAGCTCAAGCATCTAAATCTTTCATATAATAATTTTGAAGGTGAAATACCAAAGAATGGAATCTTCAAAAATGCAACTGGCATTTCATTATATGGAAACAGCAAGCTATGTGGGGGTGTCCCAGAATTAAATTTTCCAGAATGCACTATCAGAAAAGCCTCTCTACTTAAAAATTTTCTTGCCCCTAAGGTGGCTATTCCTATAGCTATAGCTAGCGCGCTTATATTGGTGTTGTTTCTAAGTCTTTTTATGGTCTTCCTAATAGTAAAAAGGGCTAGAAAGAAAACTCCTACATCAACTAGTGAAAAGGATTTGGATTTGCAAATGGAAATTTCTTATTCAGAAATTAGCAAGTGCACTGGTGGGTTCTCCCAGGATAACCTAATAGGCTCAGGAAGTTTTGGTTCTGTATACAAAGGAACTCTTTCAGGAGATGGATCAAGTGTTGCAGTTAAAGTGTTAAATCTTCAACAGAAAGGAGCTTCATTGATGAATGCCAAGCTCGGAGAAGTATAAGGCATCGAAACCTTCTCAAGATCATAACTGCCGTCTCAGGTGTTGATCATCAAGGCAATGACTTCAAAGCTCTAGTGTTTGAGTTCATGTCTAATGGCAGTCTAGAAGATTGGTTGCATCCTGTAAATAATGTGCAATATCAGACCAAGACACTGACATTCATCCAAAGACTGAACATAGCAATTGATGTTGCTTGTGCACTGGAATATCTCCACCACTTCTGTGAAATTCCAATTGTTCATTGTGACATAAAACCAAGCAATGTACTTCTTGACAATGATATGGTTGCCCATGTTGGTGACTTTGGATTGGCTACATTTCTGTTTGAAGAATCAAGCAAGTATTCCACTCAGCCAGTTATGTCAGCTAACCTAAGGGGTTCCATTGGATATATTCCTCCAGGTATGTTATTCAAAATTAGTTTAATTACTTTTTTATCTATCTAATTTCATTAGCTTTATCTTTTAGTTTTTATAATTAAAAATGTTTTATTTTTGTTTCTATACATATCACCTTTTTTTTTTCTTTCTTTCTTTTTAATCTTTATTGTTTATTATTATAGGAAATAGAAGGTAAAGTTCATGAAACAATAGATCTATAGAGATAATTAAACCTTCAAATTCAAAGTGCTAAATTGTAGGATATATTTAGCTAGGATAACCCACTAATTAGTGAAATGCAGAGTATGGTATGGGTGGGAAGCCTACTACACTTGGAGATATCTACAGTTATGGAATACTATTACTGGAGATTTTCACAGGAAAAAGACCAACAAATGAAGCATTTGAAGGTGGAGCGGGAATTCACCAGTTTGTAGCAATGGCTCTATCTAACCATGTCATGGATATAGTTGATCCTTCTTTGGTCTCTGAACAAGACTTCGTTGACGAAAATCAAGAAATTGAGTGTGAAGAGAGAGCTATGAAGAGATGCTATGAGAATGAAGGCACGGCCAAAGGTTTGGTGGAGGATTGCTTTGTGTCAGTGATGCAGATTGGAGTGTCTTGCTCTGCAAATCTACCAGGTGAACGAATGCCAATCACTGTGGTCATCAACAACCTACATGCTATCAAGAACTCGTTTATAAAGAATAAAAATAGAGCATAGTGCTATATGACAACATTTAAGAAGGGGAAAAACTAAGACAATGATATATATATACTTACTTTCTGATAAGATAATGATATGTAAAATACTACAAGATTTTATGTATAATCTATTTATAAATTCAATTGGGCGAATGCCGTTTTAGTAATCTTAAACTACTCAATTTCACCTTATCAACATTTTAGCTTATGGTGATTTTTACCTTCTGAACATATCTTTTAATTAATATACTTTCCTCCATTCATCTATGTAATAATAGTATTTTAATTGACAAAAAGAATGCATAGTTTCTTAAAGTTTAAAAAGTAATCACTATAATAAAATTTATATAATAACATATTTTATACTGACATAATATGTATTACTAAAAAATATTTTTATCTACATAATAAATATAATATATATCGGTATATTGTTTAAAAGCGTAGATATTAATGACACATAAAATATTTTATTAAATCTTATTCAAAATCAGCACTAAAATTGTGTATTGTTATATGTCAAATAAATATATGTTTACATATATTGAACTTATAGTGACACTATTTTTATATCACTATATGTAACATTTTTTTTTATAGTGGATGGTACAAGAATCTGTTATCCTTCCATAACTTCCATAACTGATCCACAGTTGAATGATCCACATTAAAAAAATATGAACCGTTTCACTTTATAAATCAATTCGATTATGTGATCCATTTTTACAAAATGGATCGCTTTGGTTTGGTTTTATTTTCTTAAACATCTTTATATATATATATATATATATATATATATATATATGAGTATAAAATGGATAATCACATCGCACTAAATCGATCTAATTTCAAAAAAAAAACCAATCCTTATTTTAAAACAATTGAACCAATCTAATATATAAAAAATGGATCAGTTAACTAATCTACTTTTATAAAATGAATCGATTCAATTCGGTTTGAATTTTTAAAAAATTTGATCCATGAACATTCTTAACTAAAGGGAGTAGTCAAACATATTGGAGTCAGACCTTAACATTCTGATGGGGTTACTGTATGATATTTATCTGAGAGGATATTTTATAAGAGTTATTTTTGTCAGAGGAGCATAATCTAATTTTATTCATGAGTCTCTATTTATAAAGAAAATTTGTTATACAAAATCAAATATTGATATTATCCTATTCTAAAAATAAGGAAACAAATCCTAAAATAATCAAAACAGATTAAATCTAAATATTTGAAATATAAATAAAATATTCTTATCAAAAACTAATTTATTCTCCTAAAAATATTTAGGCATATTCCCAACACTCCTCTTTGACTGAATATCTTTGTCACCTAATTTAAATTTGAATTTCAAAATCTACCTTTTCTCTTTTTGATTAGTTTCTTCTTTTTGTGATTTTTGTTGCAATCCTTCTTGAGTGGGACCACTTTAGCATTTGTCTTGAACTTCTCTTTTGAAGGTGGTTTTTCATCATCTTCATTCTTCTCTTGATCATCAAACTTCTTTTGAAGATATGCATCTTTGTGTTCTTCACTTGTATCTTCATTTATAATGGGCTCCTCCTTCTCCAAATTTAAAGTAAATCTCTTGCCTTTTATATGAGCATCGAACACTTCTTTGTTGTTTACATCTTTAATCACACAATTATTATCTTCAAATAAAACTTTATAGCCTTTTCCCAACAATTGAGCAACACTCAACAAATTTGATTAATATCCGTAACGTATAAAATATCATATAT